AGTTTGAGGATGTAATGTAATACATAAAGGAACAAGATTTATCCAATTTTTCGTTACCAGGCCCCGCAAAAAGATTTTTGTCGAAAACTCGCTGATGGCTCAGGATTACAACACTTTTTCTTCTTACACAGAATTGCGAGAAAGCAAAAATCATCGTAGAGACATTCAGAAGGAACGATATAGACAGAAGGAAGGCAGACAAAACAGGTCGGTTGTGTAGTAAGTATTGTAATGCAGTAAGAAACAGCTAAGACTACTTCTCCACGCAGTAATGCCTGAATGCGTTTTCGCAGAGGAAAGACACTGAAAAAGGGAGGGGGGGTTAGTGTCGTAAGAGATCCACATGATGCAGAGTACAGACATTTTGTTTTTGATCTTTTGAAGATTTCTATCTACACACGTAAAATAAATACATGCTACCAGTATGTAGAGAGATAAATAAATAAATGCATGAATAGACAGATAGATAGATAGATAGATAGATAGATAGATAGATAGATAGATAGGAAAGTAAAAAGATAATCAATCAAAGAGTTCGTCTTATCTCAACGAGATGTAAACCAGTCATCCATTTGCGTTTTAGTCCGAGAGGTTTCAGACCCCGTGCTTCATAATTTACAGAGTGCAAAACGCGTAATATTTGTTAGGATTGTGTAGAGAGATGGTAGAGAGCGGATTTGAAATTTTGGGAAGTTGATTTGTGGCTCTGGACTTAAAAAGAGATTCAAGCATTTCCTTCCTTTAACGTATCCCCGTAGAATGAACCCTAATTGAAATTATACGAACGACGCTCACTCTAGCGAAATTGCCAAGGAGAGTCGGCGTGGCGGAAGTACTTATTTTCTCTTGTATCATTGGGAACTCCTGTGGCAAGGGAACAAAAGTAAATGGAATGAATATTCCTTCCAACTCTACTTATGCCTCTTAATTCGAATTCGCACCTGTTGCTTTTATTTCGCAGTCCATTGTTGTTAAGTACGTGAAAATGAACTCATTCCGTGGATTTGTGAAAGGCCTCTCACGATATTTGTATGCATTACCCACTTACCTTTCTTCTTAATTCTCGTCTACCGCTGTCGACAATCATCGCTCACTACGTTCACATGAGTCGCTCTCCTCATGCCATTCCTTTCTCTTTCTCATGACATCTCTCTTCCTTCCAATGCCATCTCTTCCTTCCAAAGCCATCTCTCTCCCATTTCCACTCTATCTCTTTTCTCTTTCTCTCCCCTTCACCCCGTTTCTATCCACTCACCCCTCCACTCGTTCGCGTGCACTAATTTCACACACGTGATTTCATCACATTATTGCTAACGTGTTTGTTCTCCTCCTTTAGCAATCAACCTGACTTCAATGATTCTCTGTCACCCCCACCGCAGCCGTGCCCCTGCCTCCGCTGGCTAATATTGTCCGCTCCCCTGTTTGTCTTTGCTGCCTGTCGACGCCATCCCCCCCCCCGCTCCCCCTAGAAAATGTTTCCAGCGCGTTCGCCGTAAAAGCTCTCGCAACGAGAACTTTATTCGCGCTTGATGAGATTCTGAAGTCGTTCCTTCCCTCGAGTGTATAATTACCTGTTCGCAGTAGGCCGAGCAACGCACGTGCGATGACGCAGGTGAAATGATTTCCAGTTTTCGCCGTCAGGGGCCTTTTCTCCTTCTTACTCTCGCGGATTTCTTGAGCCGCGTGCTCCGCTCCAAGCAGACTACCGCTCTCTAAATCAGTTTCGTTTATCTTGTTTTCTGACACTCTTGGTGTTCGTTGACTTCTTATCGCACCTAGGTTTATTCCTAACATTCAAATATATCGTGAACTTCAAATGCTTTATATTACACACTATTTAATAAACGCCTGCTTTAAATTTTATTTTATTCCGACTTATTCAAGCACTTCTTTTTTCATATCGGTCAACAAGTCAATATTACTAACAGAATAAATCTCGTTTCGCGAAAGATATTTTTAAATTTCTCGATTCAAATCTCCTCACATATCCCTCACAATGCGTATTTTTTAAACTACCTCTAACCTAAACAACTCCATACACAAACAACATTCCTTGTCTCACCTCACCATAAAACATAAAATATTTTTGTTTTTTAACACCTAAACAAGACACTCAATGAACTTAGTAAGGGCGAAAGTGATCGTAAACTATTTTACAAAAATACATAAAAGTATAAATGAGGGTTAGGTGGATGTCATGACATCATTTTTTCTAAAAGAAATGTTATTGGAACACAATTATATTTGTCGCGTGTTCACACCTGAAATCAGTTATCTGACTGACGTCATGCGAGAAGAATGTAACCCCTTTCGAGCAGCGCTGAAACACAAAGATAGCTGTTCTTTATAGGAGAAATGCCGGAGAATGTCACTGGGAATTGGTGTAAACTCTTGGGAATAATGTCCTTCCATACCGGGCAGTCGCGAGATGGACAGGAGAGTTTCTGAGAGAATGCCTAGCAAGCAGTGAGTAGCAAAGCATTTAACGACCTTTGAATATGATGACCAATGTTGCACGAGCATCTACCAAATCGGGCCTTCGTAACTGGTATTTAATGCTTTTGTAATGTTGTGAACTGTTATATCCTAGAACGCTTTGGAACACGAAACCAGCACTTGTCATTTCAAACTCCATATTAAATATGAGAAACAAAACTTTGGTGTGTCGTTAAATAACTATACACTTACTTCATACCCTGTCCTTTCATGTGTATACTTCACATTTTCCACCTGAGATCATATTCTCACACAAAAATGCCATGACTTATGCTCTAACCCGCGTAACAGGTAACTCATTCATATGTTTGGGCGTTTCAGTCACTCCTACCAACCAGATGAAGCCTTTTGTGCCCAGCAACAATAAATGGGAACACTGTAGGCAGATTAGTTCGGCTGCTCAGTCACATTTACGCGCCCCGCGTCGCCTTCACTCCGAGCGCTGCTCGCAGACGCCACGACCGCGTTGCGGCCGCATACCGCGAGGAGCGCTCGCCGCGAGGAGCCTCCATTTCCTGGCTGCAGCGCGACGTGCGAGGGCGCCAGTGTCGTGTCGTATCCCTTGCGAAGGGAAAGGGTCGGTGGCGAAGGCACAGGGAAGGCGGGGATTGCAGAGGATGAGGAGGAACAACGATCGAGATTTCGGGTAGACGATTAGAGCGCGGACGCCTGGCAATCGCTATGATGGCGTTGGTTAGTTGGTTGCTTGTTAGTGATTCCGGGCGCGTCCACTAATGAAGTCATTATTCCCGTAAGTGTAGTGTATGTTTTTGATAGTAAGTGGTGGTTTTCCCCCTTTGCAGGGAGTGGTGGCGGTGGTGGTCTACCCCCGTTGGATGGCGAGATCCGGCACCGACCTAACCTCGGCTACAGAATTTCCCCCAACCAGGCACCTCCCACCAGCAAGGCGCCGCCCCAGTCGAGGCAAGCTCTAAGCTCCCAACCGGTCTCCCGGCATGTGTGGCGGTGTAGTTCAAGTTAGGTAAGTGTGTGTAAGGGGCGAGGATAGAATAAGGAAGAGGAAGGAAAGATCGCGCGCGGTCCATAACCCGCTTGTTAGAGTACTGCAGGCATTCGCCTGGTGTTGATCACGGAAAACTATTGATCAGAGCAGCTGGCCTCTAGAATTCTCTGACAGCGGCTGAATTCAACCCAGCTGACAAATTAGTGTCGAAAATCTTGCCACTGTCAGGACTCGAACATAAGGCCTCCCGGTCAGAGGCACTGCAGTGACATCAGTTGATGCACTGAGCCATCTCTCCGCGTGATGACATTGGTGAAAATAGCGGCACAGTAGATGACGATGTTGTAATGAAGTATACGGAAGTAACAATTACACCTAGAAAACTGAATGCACAGGTGTGGTAGCGGTGAATACACACAGGTAACGACATTGAGGATTAAAACAAACGTTTCACAACGGACAAATTGAGAATGTACTAAAATTGTTCAACATTAATTTAATGACTTAATTTTAATAACTTATCATACTATTCAATGCATAAATTGATATGAATAAACTTTGCATAAGATCCGTCCAGTAAACCCGTACGTGATTGTTTATTTTTATTATTAAGGAAGACGATGAAATATCTCAATATACTAAAAATAGATTGAGATCTTAATTAATGACTTCAATCTTTCTGTAAAATTATTTCATCGTTATCACAAAATAATGGCAACATTCTACTTACTCATTGTTTATTATTTTAACTGAAAATATCGACGACAACTGAAAATGGAAGCCATTTTGTACAACAGAAAACAAATATGCGACAGCGATAATTTAAAACGTTATCTATACAAAGGAAAAATACTCGCGTAAATGTAAGTAAAATACGCATTGTAAAGCGAATTTACATGTACGATATCCCACAAAAATAGCCTCTGTCTGAGAAATGTAAGTGCTTCCTTCCATTTGGAAGGGTATTTTCACCCTGTATGTGAATCTGAGGTTATTGCATTAGATTATTACAGAGTTTATTACTTTAATCGTATATTACCTTACAGTGATGTCTTCTGCGAAATCCGGATGGCAGCCACAACCATAGTGGTGTGTGTCGAAGGATACGTTCGTATTACACAGAAGGCAGAACAGCAGTAGCTTTGCGGCAACGGCAAGAGTGATGTGGATGGACGTGGTGACGATATGCAGAAAATGAGACTGTGCGCCGCGGCATGGAAAATGTGATGGGAATTGAAAGTGTGGCTGAGATAAAAATTGCGGCAGGGTTCAAAAGTTTCGCTGAGCTGGCAGGAAGGTACGCGGGACTGAAGGTTGGAAGGTGCGGAGGGACTGGTAGGTGAGATGGGACTGGTAGATGCGACGGGACTGGTAGATGCGGACGGGACTGCGAGATCGACGGGGGAGACTGGTAGAGGACGGGATGGTAATGCGACGGGACTGGTAGTTCGACGGGCTGGTAGACTGCGACGGGAATGGTAGATGCGCACGGGGACTGGTAGATGACGACGGGAACTGGTAGATGCGGCGGGACTGGTAGATGCGAGGACTGGTAGATGCGACGTGGACTGTAGATGCGACGGGGACTGGTAGAGTGCGACGGGACTTGGTAGATGCGAACGGGGACTGGTCAGAATGCGACGGGGACTGTAGATGCGCGGGACTGGTAAGATGCGATTGGGACTGGTTGATGCGATGGGCTGGTAGATGCGATGGGATGGTGATGCGATGGGACTGGTACGATGCGACTGGCGACTGGTAGATATGCGATGCGGACTGGTAGATGCGATGGGACTGCGTAGATGCGATGCGGACTGGTAGATGCGATGGGACTGGTAGATGCGATGGGACTAGAAGGTGCAGTGGGACTGGTAGATGCGGCAGAGTTAGTAAGTATGACGGGGATGGAGAGGCTGATGAGGATTCAGGAGATGGCAAGGCTGGAGGAATGGTGGGGCTGGAGAGGGAGGTGGGGATGTTAGATGCGATGGGACTGGTAGATGCGACGGGACTGGTAGATGCGAAGGGACTAGAAGGTGCAGTGGGACTGGTAGATGCGGCAGAGTAAGTGTGACGGGGTGGAGAGGCTGATGAGGAAGGAGATGGCAAGGCTGGAGGGGGAGGTGGGGATGGAAGATACAGTGGGTCTTCTAAGAGGCAGCGGGTCTGAATGATGGCGGGACTGGTGGAGGTGGCGGAGAGGGTAACGGGGCCGAAAGGAACGATTGGCGTAGCAACTGTAGCTCAGGTGGAAGGTGTGTGGAATTGTGGGTGGGGAAGAGAAGGGAGAGGCAGGCGCAACGTGGGCGAGAGTAACGCCGGAGGCGTTGGCCGCAGTAGGGGGCGGCGTATTATGTGGGCGGGTTCGGCGACTTCTGCAGGACCGCAAGCAAGGGAAGCGGTAGCGGAACACATTACGCTGAAAGCATTTTAAAGGTTCCATCGCAGGCCCCGATGCTGCTGTTCCGAGGTTTCCGGGTCGCCTCCTACGAGCTCTAACCCCACCTCGCCCCCTCTTGAGCCCTTCCCAAGGAGCTAGCCCGCGCGCCTCGTCCCACCCCGAGTCACGGGAGCCGCGCGCAAGTTTTCAGAGGGAATTATTTCGAATTTGCGCTCTTCTTATGAAGCGTGAAGAGGTGAAAAAGAACGAGCGACTGAGAGCTCGTGAATGAAAAGCAGACTCTTTAGAAATGTCAATTCAATTATTTCCCACCTGCCGTACAAAAATAGCATTCAGAGCAAGTCGGTGAGAGAACGCATAACCAGCGCGTTTCAATGAACAATACTACTAATTGCGATGCAGAGTAAAAAAATAATGTTACCTTCATATGTTTTACTGAGGCTGTTTTAGTGAATTGCGTTAATAAACATTTTTTTGAATAGCAACTTCATTTACTGCAATGAGACATGCTACGTGCCCATGATTTGCAGGAAAAGATGAATTGAAAATTATAAACACACAAAAATATTCAAACAAAAGTTTATCATACTGGCTATCAAGGGTACCTTTTATTGAAGCATCGATCACACGGAATGATTAATAATAATAATAATAATAATAATAATAATAATAATAATAATAATAATAATATTAACTGCAATAGTAATAAAAATATCAACCTATTCTCCCATAATTTATATTCAAAGTTAACAAGCGTGCCTTAACCCAGTGATACAGCCGAAAGGCTGATGCCCATAATTCCACATATTGATCTCTCGAGGATATAATACAACTGGGCTTCGGAGAGAGAAATGTGGTGGGTGATCAGTAGTAGCAAACACGAATGATAATAGTGATAGTAATAATAATATAATAATAATAGTGATAGTAATAATAGTAATATTGACAATAAAAAAGATTAATAAAATTTTAAAAAACTAGGTGGTTGAACAATAAGTACTTTCTCTTATTAGTGCTAGTTATCTTTAATTATAAAACAGCAATTTCGGTCCATTTTAATACATCTTATCCATCACTTATGGGTTTTTTAAATATCGTAGAGGATGCGAAAATTAATTCTTTTAAAGATAAGATATACACAAAAATTTGACCAATCCAAAACGGAAATCCATACAGCGATAAACATTATCGCCCAACAATCAGAAGTAGTTCTGAGAATTTGAAACTTTCGTGTTGTGGGGTTGCAATTGATACCGTATTTTGTTGTTCTTTTCAACAAAAGTTATGCGGGAAATATGAATTGTCAATTGCAAAAATGCAAAACAACTCATATTTACACAAAAAAGGCATGTCCTTATTTAAAGATTTAATTTTGACGAACAATTCTCATTAAGGCAAAAAACACAATCATTAGAATTTTAGTTTTGCAATTTTAAACTTTTGCGTGTTGTCAAAATAAAGAAAATCAACGAAAAGTAGACATGACCGATTTTATATGCGTTTTTGCTCTATACGAGAAAAAAAATCGGAGGTATTGTTTGGAGATAAGCTTGAAAACTTTAAGGATTCATGTAACTCCCCAAAAAACAAAATAAACTTTGAAATTCAAGGGGCCACGACATCTGTCAGATAGATTGGAAAATATCAGTTTTCGTGAAAATTCTACCTCTGCATTGTTCACAGACGGACAATTCATATAAGGGATATTATTTTTTTATGTTACAGTGCATTTCATTTAAGGTTCAGTTGAACGACCAATGAATACACAATAATAACTATTCTTGTTTACGAAACTTCCTGTATATTCCGAGTAAACGTATATAAATAATCATAATACCAAAGTTCAAAGAGCGTCGAGTGTGTGATCAACCTTGAATACTGCAAGAGGTTTATTGAAAACGAGATAGAGTGAACCTGCCTCATATGAGAGGATATTTGCAGGAGAGGTCCACGCTTGTCTGGTAATGAAACCAAACTCAGATATTTCACTGATACATCATTTCATCTCCATGAGATTCAACAGTACGCAATCATAATTAAAACTAGTCATTTCGATCGACTTGATACTTGCTGGATAAGCTCGTATGTTATGATCATCAAGTGATATTTGGAAAAAACATATTTTATTAAGAAAACTAATCCCTCTGTTCAGTACTGAAGTTGTACGAAGACGACGTAAGTTTTAACTTTTGCAATTTCTAAAAATTCTAAGAATTCAACGAAAATGAAATCTGCATCAATTGTTTCAGTACATTTTGTATGCTTATTTCCAAGTAAACTTTAATAGACATATTTTAAGCCATTTTGATGAAAATTTGGATAATGAATAGTGTAAGGTATACCCAAAATCAAAATATTCGTTTCAAATTCGTAGGGTCTTGGATTCGTACATATCAATAGAGGTATGTCAGCTATGAAGAAAATCGTCTGAACGGTTGATCACGAACAAAAAGACATTTGGCCGTAAATAAATATATCGTATCAAGGACCTACAAAACGTAAAACTTTCTATACAAAGTACAAAAATAGATGCAAAAACAGATACAAATATGCTGCACTTTGTAGATATCAGAGATCTACAAAATGATTTTTTCTATTCAATAATAGTAATTTTTGCTTCTGCATTACTACTCTTTATCTATTATATTTATTACGTAATGGGCGAGAAAGAAATAGTGTGATTGATGAAAGCGATAGTATAAATAACCTAGCACTTCACTATTAATTCGATTCTATGTGTACGAATAGCTAGTCTTTCTAAGAAACTGCATTAGTTAAATTTGATTTTCCCAGCTCCAGGGGGCCGACGTTTTCCTGACTTTTCTCATCGTCGTTCATCAAAGGAATGTAAGGTGAATAGAAGACGCCTTAGAAATTCCTCGGATTGAGACGCCTCCCCTCAGCCCTCCCGTACCCATCCCCTGCCATCCGCCGGTGGCGCTCGCTTCAGCGGCGTAAATCTGGTCGAGATCTCGCGCGTGGCCTGTAAAAAAAGCCGAATCGATATTGAAGAGTAATTATTTAGAGGCGGAGCGAGCGATGACCGGAGAAATACGAGGCTGCTGCGGGTGACGGCCGACGCTCCTGCGTTGCGCCGCATGCCTCACTCGCCCTCCCTTCCTCCGCCCCTCCCTCGCTCCGTCCTCCCCATCCTCCGCTCCTCCTCCCGTCCTTCCCCGCCCCATCCACGCATTCTCTCCCAGCAGTCCTTCCCCTCCCCATCCACCATTCTCTCCCCAGTTCCTTCCCCTCCCCATTCCACCATTCTCTCCCCGACCTATCCTCCCATCACATTCCTCTCCCCGTCTTCCTCCCCACTCCACATCTCTCCCCGTCCTTCCACCTCCCCACACCATTCTCTCCCGTCCTTCCCCTCCCCATCCACCATTCGCTCCATCGTCCTCGCCTCACCGCCAGCGCCTCCACCCTTCCCCCTCCCCCATCCATCCCCTTCTCGTCTCACCTCCGCCCCTCCTCCGCCTCTATCCCTCCTCCGCCCTCTCCATCCACTACCTCTGCCCCTACACCCATCATCCGTCCCTCTCCGTTCCTTCCGCAGTCCTTCTTGTCCCCCCAACCTCGCACACCCCGTCCTGCCCCTCTGCCAATATGTCCACTGCCGTCCGCAGCAACGACCTTCAGCCGCTTGCAGTTTTTCTTTGCTTACAACACCCAGGAGGCTGTGCCGTGCCATGCAAAATGTTTCAACAGGGATTCTTCAGCAATATACATTTACGCTTGGATATATAGCGATTACAAGTTATCTTTACAAACAAGTGATGTATTAAAATCATTTCGAATTTTATGAGGGACAACACTTGTCATACCCAGAAAGTATTATAACAATCGCAATACGATCCCCGTAATTATTCTAATGGCGATCCGGAAATAATGTGTATTTTCCAATAAACACTCAAAATAAACTATTGTCTTTTAGTTCTAAATTCATAAGTCGAGATCATGTTCTTCTAGTTTTATTTGCTTATGAGTCACTACCAGATATCTTTAAAAGATGAGGAAGAGTGCATTTGGTTACACTAAGGTTAGTCATGTTAGGTTTGGCTAAATCTGAGCTGCAAATCCATACCATCCAAAACTGGGTCCCTCTCACCTGAAATCGAACATGATTATCGATTTCTAGTTTCCTATTCTAATAATCTATAGTTCAATTTCGTAAGCCATATAATAGACGCTAATAGTTGTAGAATTCTTGGATGAACATTGACAGATTTTGGAATAGAGCGAAAAGTCTGAAGCTAAGTACTTGTCGAAAGAAATCCGAGAAACAGTTAAAAAATGGAAAACTGAGAAGACGCCGCCTGCAAGAGTTCGCAACGCAGTGCGCGCGTGGCAGATTGGGTCGGGAGAAGTCACCGCCTCCGCCGACGCGAACTTTGCGAGCCACAGTTCTGGAGCAGAGCAAGGGAGCTGCGGTGGTGGTGAACGTTGCCAAAGGCGCCACCGCCGCGCTGCCGTCGCCGGAAGCGCAGGCGAGGCGTTTGAGACCTTGGGGGGGAGAGGAGGGGGGGTTCAGAGAATTCTGAGCTGAGCAGACTGAGGGATGCTTGAGGCAGCAACTGCGTTTGAAACCAAACGTCGGCTCGAAGTTTAAGAAGCACCCCGACCAACAGTACACGTAGCATTCATAAATCGAATAATTCTGATCTCAACTTTCGTCCCGAAGATGCATTCAGAAAACTTACTCCAAAGAAAGCTTTTTTCAACTTATTTCAGTATAATAACGCGATTAACCAGGCCCACCAACGTCAGAAACTTATTGAACGAAGGCGACCGAGATCGGAAGAACACGCGATTCAGTGCCCGAAATTTGTTTCAAGAGTTTGAGATCGGATACGATGGTCGATCGCATTGATTGATAATTTACGTGGAGTCCCTCTTACAGACGAACACTGAAGAAGGCTATACAACGTGCCACAAAAAATGTTCGATCTACTCTTCTCCATCTTGCTCAACCCAATCCTTAGAGGCTGTGATGATGATGATGATGATGATGATGATGATTATGATGATGATGATTAAGATGTAGGGGTATTCAAATTGTAAGGTAAGACCAGGTCAAATTATCCTATGAACCGACTATATCTAGGAACGTGCAGATAAAATCTTAAAATTGAATGAGTTTAAAACACAACAAAGTACAATCATGTCTAAATAGAGGCAAAATGAAATATCAGAATGCACAAATCGCAGGAGAACACTATTAAAATTTGGAAAATAAAAAACTCGTAAATTAGGATAATTCCACTCTCTCTCAGATGGGGTTAATCATTCCATTATCGCCATAGGAACCTACAAAGTTTGGCGAGAGGCGATTTCCTCATTACCAAATATCTCTTCAAAAAAGGTGAGAATTCAATTTCTTTAGCGGCTCTCTAACTTATCACTGGGTATGAGCACATTCACCACGGTAAAGTCTGTTCCACATACATCGCATACAGGAGCTGGGTCACTGCAGAGAGGATATTCGTGCGAGAAGTATCATTATCAGAGTTATATTCATGTACCTAGAACTACAAGGTGAGGAAACCCAAGATTTTATGACACTCTTGAGGGTAAAAACCAAGTAACGAAACTATTTGCATGCACTAAGAAGGAATGTTTTATTTAAAACTTGGTATCGCGCGCAGGAATCGTAGGGATGACTATCTCTGACTTCCTCGTGGCGAACTTTGCGGTCTGGTCAGCTATCTCGTTTGCAATTTCGTAGCTGGGGGCCCAACCGAAACCAAGTTCCACCACAAAGAAGAGTCCCTCAGGGTCAGCAATACGCTGAACCAGCATTTCAAATGGTACATCTCCCACTTGTGGAAGGAAACCCACGAAAGTGTGGGAGATTCGAGGTGCAGCAACAAACAAAACACAATAGAGTTAGTGCAGAAAGTGATCGTACACCAAAGAAAATATGACAAATGTATTTATAGAACATGAACGGGATGTTAGAGAAATATATAGATATCAGATTTATGACTACAGAAAATCTACTTTTACTCTCTCATAATAAAATGCTGGAACTAGAATATTAAAACCCCATTTCTGAACAATAACTATTCTAGTGTATTGTAACAATATGTATACATCTTTTAAAATATAAAATATCAAATATATGTTTAACACAAAGAAATATATTCTTTTAAAACGAGTACTTTTTCAAACAAATCAACAAAAAATAAACCTCTAGTTGGCGAATGTATAAAACCGCCAAAATAACAGTCATTCAACTGGCGTGCATGAACATAGCTAATGTTATGGAGAATAAACGATTTTTTATTGTTGGATAATTGTCCAGCATTTTTAATGATTTAGATTTTTTTAAATCAAGAGAATCCAAATTCAACAGCTTAAAGGAGCTTTTATTTTTGCTTCAATGAGGTGCATTCACTAGCGGAATCAAAAAGAATGAAACTATCCTCGTTCAACTATATTTTTCTTCATCTGCATTTAAATTATTTTAAGTTCTTATTTTTTAAATACACCTACTTTATGTACTTATATATACATAAAGTATATTATAATATAATATTTAAGTATCTCGAAAACACATGCTCCAAAGCTCAAAATACAGTTTTTCTAATACAAAATATATTTAAAATACATATTTCAAATACAGGTATTTAAATACTGAACAACCTTGCACACTTATAGCGAGGAAAATTAATTTCACTTGAACTAGACTAACCAATGTAATAAAAATGTGTAATTGCATTAATTTGAGTTTTAATTCATAGCATGTAATACATGAAACATTCTTTTACATAACACATAATACACTGTTTCGAAATGAAAATTGATATTTTTCAGCTCTTCGTGTAAGATACAAATAGGAAACTGATGAGAAATTCTTCATTGATTTGCACTGCTCACTTTCACAGTACACATTTTTGTTCAGTTAGAACACTTACATTTGTTGTAAATACTTAATTTTTGAGTTCAAGTAAATCTAAAAGAAATCATATTCTCACAGGTTACTAAATACTTCCAATAAGTCAGTAACATGTATAGATAGCAAATACGGCACTTTTCTTTTACTAAAAATTGATGAAAATTATATTTAATAGAATCACTTGTCAAAAAAAATAAAATAAATTTGACACCGTAATTCTTCAAAACAAGGGGATAAATCACATACCTTTAACCACTCAAACAATCGCAGTGTTCTCATTTTTTATATGAACGTATAAATCTAGCAAGTCACTCCGTTCAAAAGAGCAAAAGACTCTGCGATGTTGCCGTAAAACCTGAGAGACCTTTCATGGCAGCACTCAAACGCAATTTCCTGAATCTTCCTCCGCATTTCGATGGAGTTTTCTTACAACGCCATCACCAACTTCATACGCACGAGGAAGCGTAAAAAATATTTCACGAGGCCACAGCCTCACGCTCCCGCAAAAGAACAAAAGAAAGGAAAAAAGAAAAAAAAGACACTCCTGTTCTCGGTGCAGAAGTAACAAGACGTAGAGGAAGAAGAAAAAGAATTAATTAAGTGAGTCGTACGAAGAGGCGGCGGAAGGCCGTTGAAGAAGAAGAAACGGGCTTGGCGGTGGTGATATTCATAAAACAGTGCACTTGCCTAAGCGCTGGCAGGGAACGCGGCCGGGCGCCTGCTTTCTCTCGGGGGGCGCTCTCCCGGCCCCGCCCCCACGGTCC